ATAAAGCACTATTTCCACGATGTTCAACTGCGCTCCTCAATGAATTTTGAAAACAGATGGGTCTTGAGATCCGCTCTGAACTTCGCAAGTGATGGAGAAATAGTCAGAGAAGTAGGTAAAAAGCAAAAGCAGATTTGGCAAAAGAGTGTTTAACACGAGTTAAGAAAAAGCGAGAAGAAGAAAACGATCGTAAACCGGGGCGTTTAGGTTCAATTGATATATCTGATAAATACTTAGGAAATAATTTAGATTGAGACTTATACATGAACATGCAAATTTTAAAAATTATTCTATATTTTATAGGTAGCCAGTGCAAGAGAACAAGATATGGAGATATATGAGGAAAAAAAGGGGCACGAGCAACTAGACGAGCAGCAGAGTTTAAAAGCTTTAATTAAAGGATTGAGTATAGAGTCAGGAAGACCATAGTAGAGCGAGTTACAATAATCAATCCTAGATAAGACTAACGAAGTAACAAGAAGGAGAAGAGTAGGATCATCAAGAAAAGGCAAAAGTTTTTTTATTCAACGTATATGAAAGTAAGAGCTTCTAGCAACACTATTAATCTGAGAAGAGAGAGACATTGTAGATTCAAAGATAAAACCTAGACTACGAAACTTATGAGAGACATCAAGAGTTTTAGAATCAGGTAAGATAATAGGAGGAATAGTAATAAAGTGTTTAGATTTATTAAAATCTAATTCATTTATTAATTATATTAATTTATTAATTATTAAAATTAATTCAAACTTAGAAGGATTAAGTTTAAGACACATAGAGTCAGACCAGGCGATAATTGAAGAAAGACATAGAGATAGATTATGAAGTACACTATTGAGATTAGATGGAGGAAAAGAAGTATAAATGTAAGAATCATCAGAATATAGTTGACTAGAGAAAGAAAAGTTATTAATAATACGAGGTAGTTCAGAGGTATAAAGTATAAATAGAAGAGGGCCAAGGATAGAACCCTGAGGTACCCCGAAAGTAAGAGTAGAGAAGTTAGAAGTAGAATTATTGAGAACAACAGAAGAAAAACGATTACCATTTTCAATCAGAGATAAGAAGAAAACCAAGATAGACAAGAATCAGTAATATTAAAAGAAAGATGTAGCAGTCTCAAGAGAATAGTATGGTCAACAGTATCAAAAGCCAAGGAAAAGTAAAAAGCAAAAAGAAGAGTAAGATTACTATTGTCACTAGAGAGAAGGATATCATTGTGTATTTTGAGTAAAGAAGTTTCAAATGCAAAAGAGAGAGAGAAACCTTTAACCTTCAACACTAATCAAAAATATTTTCATTCCACTTTAATTTAAGGCATTAACAGACAACGAACTCAGAGGAGTGAATTACGTACAACATGATGGTTTCTGTTCTTGCGTTCCTACAGCAAACAACATCCGCAACAATGTTTCTGCTGCTGTTGGCTTGTTGGCCGGTGGATGCAGAGGTTACGTCAACCACGGTATGTAGCAATATGCGTCGATGTGTGTGCATGAATGCATTCATTAGTATGCGAGCGTGTATGTGTTAAATAAAGTAAAGTAAAGTATAAATAAAGTAATAAAAAGATAACTTAAACGTTAAACAAGCAGAATGTCCCGCTGAATTTGATTACGTGATAGAATACAACAAGTGTTACAAGTTGCTAGACCAGATCGAAACCTGGTATGAGGGCAGACGGTTGTGCAACAGCCTCTCATCGTCGCATCTCATTACAATTGACGATGACTACGAAAATTATGTCTCTCTGCAATACGTTGACAAAGCTACACATTGTATCTATTTTTATTTCAATTCATAGAATAACCCTCCATAGCGTAGATATTTTCTATCAAAATTTTTAATATTTCTACATTTGTTTCTAATATTCGTGCTAAAGGGATGCGGTTTGAAGTTGTTTGTCACTTTGCTATGATGAATAGTTTGGAACATTTATAATTATTTTTGAAACGTGTGCGTGTTGATAAATCATTGAAGCGAAACACATCAACATGAAACTCGCAGGTTATTATTTGGATCATGGATGGTATTCGTTTTTCACAAGCGGAATTCGAACCTACGTTGGTGGAGTGAGAACGCCTTTCTTGTGGTCACCATACCCAGGTTGACAAAATCAATTAACCAATCACATCAATCAGTCAACCAACCAATCAAACGTCTAATCAAACAGCCAATCAAAGAACAATCAACCGCCATTTCATCTAGCAACCAACCAACAATCTAACCAATCAATCAACCAGCCTACCATCCCACAACCAACGAACCCACCAACCAATCAACTAACCAATCAAACAATTAATAAAACCAACCAACTAACCAATTAGGTGTCAACAAAACCATACAAACAACATCAGCATGGCATGCCGGTGAACCCAACTCAGAAGAGGATGGAGAGGATTACTGCCTGATAAGTGCACTGAACTATTATTTTGGGTGGGATGATATTTCATGCAAAGCGCTTCTGTGCATTCTCTGCGAATACGACATGATGGTGTAATTTTGTGTAATTTTTTTACAACATTTACAATGGTTATTTCAAAATGAAAGTTAATAAAGCTAAAAAATAATTTAATGTAGTTTTCAAATTATTTTTAAGTAAATCGATCAAGCGCTACAAGTGGCAATAAATAAATTTGTTTATTCCAAAAACAATCACATCTTACATCAATGACATCCTCAAATCTTCAAATTACAATCGTTACAAACATTACAACCCTAACAACATACCCTAACACTCTCAAAGCTCAACTTAACAAATGAAATACAACGGAAATATTAATATGACGCTACACCAAGTTTTAAAATCAATAATTGCAATATACCAGGTGTCACATTTTTGTTCACAAGGTGGAAGACTGATAATTTATTTACAGGATAATTTATTTATTACCACTTTCACTACTACTGCTGCTGCTGCTTCTACTACTACTATAACTACTACTGCTACTACAAAATAGTAATAGTTAATAACGTGAATAATAAAAATAATAATCGCTACAATAGCATGTGAAATAAAAATAGGAATAATAATAATAATAAGATAAGAAGATTAAGAGAAAATATAAATTTAATCTAGATGAACATATTCAAATAAAACAACGAAAACAACAACGACAACAAACACAACAACAACAACAAAGGTACGTTAATAACACGAGTATTCATATTCATTAATATTCATATTCATGCTTGGTATGGAACGGTTGAGTTTTAGAAACTTAGTTGTAAATGACAAAAAAAATTATTACATCGCCTGACTGTTTATGCAAAAAAAAATACTTTCTGCCGACACGTATGGTTAAATAATTTTGAATCAACAAACAAATGTAAACAAATAGAGAAAGAGAGAGAGAGAGAGAGAGAGAGAATTTATAAAATAAGAAAGAAAAACCAGTTAAATAAAAAAAATATATATATATTTTATACTTATAAATGTACGTATGTATGTAATATAATATAATATATAAATATATATAATATGCACATGTATACAACTATATATTTACAAATGTATACAGATCTATAAACAAAGAGAATACCTTTATAAACGTATTACACACACACGCAACATATCTACACAACATACACACACACACACATACACACAAACAAACACACACATGTATATATATATATATACACTCATTATATAGGTAGGTAAGGTGTGTATTTATTTTAAATGCTTCGTTATTATCTTTCAATGAACAACAAAGCAATGATGTCGTGTGCCAGGCTTTCGCTGGCTTCGTATCTTTCTTCGAAGCTTGTGCCACAGCTTCTTCTGCTGCTTTTAACTATGGCTATAATAGTAATAATAATTAAATAATAATAATTATTATTATTGTTATTATTATTAATGCTATTTATTATCATTATTTTTCATCATAATTATCAGTTTCATTTCTTCTTTATTGCTTGTATTTTAGTTAGTTCATTATACTATGATCAGCGTAGCTTTATATATTTCTATTTAAAATGTCTTCATTGTCGTAATTAAATTAAATATTTGTTTGTTTGTGTGTGTGTGCGTGTGTGTGTCTTCTGTTTTATAACAGTAATAAAAGAAGTTGTCTGTTTATTTGTGTCAGTGTGTGTTTGTGTCAAAGCATTGTGTATTGTGTATACTACATGTGGCAAGTTATATCTATTAATATAAATAACAGTATATATATATATATATATATATATATATATATAGCCTATATATAGTGTAAAATAACTTTACTTGATAAAAATACACCGTAATACTTTTGTGTTTACTGCTCACGTGATCGATCAGAAAAATAATTTATTTATTACAGTAACTCTCATAAATAATACCATAACTTTTTCCTCTTGTGCCATTTTGGCGAAACATTTTTTAAGCTATTATTATTTTTCGTATAATAAACAATTCATTTCAGTTAAATATTATTTCTGATGTATATTTTTATTGCTACTCATTTTTAACATTCATAATATGTAATAAAGCTATAACTTTTTTAACAAAATTATAGTCAATTATAAAATGCATATTATTTTAAATGATACTGAAAGCGTTCTAGCATCATATTAACAATATTATTAATAGTAGAAGTGTTCTACATTACCGCTTGCTGAAATAACAATAATAATAATAATACTTATAATGATAATAATAGTAATAATAATAATATTAATAATAATAATTATTATTATTATTATAGAGCAGATGTCGTGTGTCGTTCGTTCGTTCTTTCTTTGTTAGTCACACTCGTCTGCGGGCTGAGTACTAGCTAGTAGCTGAGTCTCTTAAGAATAATAATAATAATAACCACACCAATAATAATAATTATTATTATTGTTGTTGTTAATATTATTATTATGATTATAAAATTTTGAAAGTTTGTTATAATACTTTAAAATATGTTTCGTGACGTAGTAATCACCAGGTCCAAGAAGGTCAGGAGGTCGGGAGGGTCGTGGGGGTCAGGAGGGTCGAGAGCCCCCGAGTAGGAGTTTTTTAAATTGAATTATGAGGATATTTAAAAAAAATGGTAATCTTCTTTTTTTGCTCACCACACAATTGTATACTGAAATTTTGGAGTGAAAATCTCTGGTTGTACACTGTTACAGTGTACAGTCACCTACCAACTGTTACGTGACAACAGTTTCAGAGTGGTTCCTTCAGGCTTGGCCATAGTAATCGCTATTTTTCAATTTCAAATTTAAAAAAATTTGGCAATAACTTTCTTTTACTAATTGCTGAAATATCAATAAATTTTAAAGCAGCAGTAGAAGTGTATAGAAGTAGTAGAAGCAGCAGAAGCAGAAGCATTAGTAGTGGTAGTATTATTAGTAGCTGTAGTAGTAGTTGGAGTAAATGTAGTAGAAGTAGCACTTGTAATGGTTGTAGTATTATAATTTTAATAGTGTTATTGCCATTGCTGCATTGCAAATTTGATGATGATCTGTTGTTCTAATCATCGGCAGCATCATCGTCATCACAATTAATATTATTATTAATTTATTATTTTATTATTTTATTGTTTTATTATTTTAATTTTTTATCAGTATCCGCCGTTTAAAAACGTTCTTTTATTACCTCTTTCCTTCTTTGTCATCAGTCGTTAACTTAGAATCATTCATTATACACATACGTTTGTATTATAAATAAATACATTTGTATGTGTGTGTGTGTGTGTGTGTGTATACATATATATGTGTGTGTGTGTTTGTGTGTGTAAATATACATATGTATGTGTGTGTGTGTGTTTGTGTGTGTGTGTGTGGTGCGTGTAACATAATTATTACTTCATTATATAACTGTTAATAAAGGAAAGTTAAATAATAGTATAGATATATTATGTATCGGTTATCGGCATACATGGTACTGTTAAGAGTAGCACGCATGTATGTGTTGTTGTTAACTGGCAGATGTTTCTTTTAATCTTTAGTGGTACTGCGTTTTCATTCAACCTAGGTATACTTATTAATAAGTGAACGAACTACACAACCTCTGAGATTGAAAATTTTATCTAATTTCAAAATAAAACTGATTAAAATTTAAAAAACTTTAGGGATTAATTAATATGAAACTGTTTAACTCATTAGCAGTCAGATTAATTTAACCTCTACTAGCCAAGCCATGTATCATTGATATCAGTGGTACATTGACCTCATTGATATCATTGATATGCATATGATATCACATGCGCATCAAACCAACATCACTCCAGATGATATCATTACAAGTGGCGGATCCAGAAATCCTGGCAGATCCAGTAAGATCTCTAACCACCAAACTATAGAATAAACAAATACGCAAGCATCTGCAACATATTTTTACGTCATAAGATAATATTTTCAACCATAAACCGCAGAGCAAGGGCTAAAATTTTGTTTGACATTTTGTGTTAAACTAATGAAATAATAAGGAATAAGCAAGGCATTGAACATAAGTATCGTAGTATTATTTGTAGTGTAGTAGTGGCAGCAGCTTCAGTTGCAGTGGCAGCCGTAGCAGCAGTAATAGTAGCAGTAGCTGGTAGCACTACTATTAGTAAAAGTAGCAGCGGTTTTATAGACTTTCATATAAAGTAAAAATATAGGTGCTGTATCGAAAAATATTGTAATTATTATTACAGTTTCAGCTTATTCTTGGTTAGTTTAGCGTGTGATGTAGGACGATGTATGTTAGTTTTTCACGTTTTGATCTAAGGGCTTGTTTGTTATTCAAATTATTTTTGAAAAAAAAATCGTTATTTAAAAATTGTTACGTGAAATTAAAATTCAAAAATTGAAATTGCCATTTCTAGATTAAGCCACTCATAATTTGAAACACAAGTTCGTGCTGTTGGTTACTTTAAAAAAAAAGGATTGAAATTACTTTCGTTCAGGCATACTTTGGTGAAATGTGCTTGCTAGTGACGTTGTTAAAACTTATTATTGTGTGATTTTCGGAGCAAAGTTGAATGAAACTGTCTAATCAAGCAAACATTTCACGTAAGAGTTCGATGAATAAAAACAACTTTTTTGAGGAAAAAAGGAAGAAAACAAAGCGATTCAGACAACCGAACAAATGTAATGTTATTAAATATTCTCTAAATTGAAAAATATAATCCGACCCCGTCTGGAAAGTAATATTAATGAAAATAAAATTAAAAATAAAAAATCATTCGAATATAAGGTATATATTCGTATCAAATTTTATGAATCAGTGGTCTTCATTCTAGACATTTATACACAAACCACTATCAAAGATAATGTCAAATATTAACATCATGATATACAGGATTTAAAAAAAGGATTGAAAAGAATAGATAGATTCAAAACTTATGGGCAACCCTTGGATTGTATGCTTGTATCATGTGTTTGTATATAGCATACTACTCTCTATAAAGTTTTCTTCTTACTACATGACGTTTATTTACGATTATGGTAGTTTAATTTCCGTAACGCTCGCCATTCGTACATTCTGTCCTTCCGATAACTTTTTGTCAAAGTCCAGTTTATGTTGCGAAAATAGGAGTAGTGCCT